AAGGGGAGTGGACGGGTTGCAGGATTCAGCTGGGTAGTCAGGGCAAGCCTCACTGAGATGTCTGAGCAGGCTTGCAGGAGGGGACGGAGTTAGCTAAGGAAATTGTCTGGCTAAGGGCGTTCCAGACACAGGACTGCCTGGAGTGGAGGCTGCAAGCCATGCACGCCTGGGAGGTGGGAGGGACAGCACTGGAGGTCAGTGTGGCCAGAGTGGAGGGGTGGGGGGGACGTCCCAGAAGAGGCGGTCAGTAAGGTTGGGAGGTAACACGTTTCTGCACGGGAAGAAGTGCCCCCAAGAAAGCCAACTGTCAATGGAGTTTATAAATCGAAGGAGTTAGCTAGAAATGGTTTTATAGATTGCTTTAATTATGTATTTGCTCATCAAGAGTGTAGAGTTTACTTTTAGGTTTTTTTTTAAAGATTTTATTTATTTATTAGAGACAGAGATAGAGAGAGAGCACGAGCAGGGGGAGAGGCAGAGGGAGAAGCAGGCTTCCTGCTGAGCAGGGAGCCGACATGGGGCCCGATCCCAGGACCCCGGGATCATGACCTGAGCTGAAGGCAGACGCTTAACCGACTGAGCCACTCAGGCACCCCAAGAATTTACTTTTAATTTACGGATGACTGCAGTTGGTAGGAAGTCCGATGCCCGGGTGAGCTGTCATGGCTGGGTAGTAAGGGCCCTACTCTTGGCTCATGCAGCTGGGCTCTTGGTTAGTCTGTTCATCAAAAAGTCATGTAAAGTCAGAATAATTTTAAAAGGACACATAGATGCCTTAGCAAAATATACTTAAAGATACTTAAAAATATTTAATTTTATTTATTTAAAATATGTTTGTTTATAGCAAAACTGTGCATTCATTTATTTTGTTTTGCTTTGTTTGATAGAGCTGAAGGCCTTTTCTGTAAGTCGGGACCTGCTGATTCTGCTCCTCATCCTCCCAGTGTTCCCTAGATGCCCCTGAAGATAAAGATCACCCCAGCCCTTATTTTGTAAAACAAAACAGACAGCCAAAAAAAAAAAATCAGATCCCACAGCGCTAGTCTAGACTTCCTGAGTCAGAATTTCCAGGGCGTGAGGAGGACTGTTTGTATATTTGACAAGTGGCCCAGGTGACTCTTATCATCTGGGAGCCTGGGAAAACACTGGATTACGACCTCTGGTTTGGATATTTTTCTACTTTTTTTTCTTTTTTAAAGTGCAACAAGAACTTATGAAAAGAAATTTGTGAAGCAACCTTCCCCCTAGTCTTTCCCACCTATACTAATTTATTTATTTTTAAAAGATTTTATTTATTTGTCAGAGAAAGAGAGGGAGCAAACACGAGTGGGGGAGTGGGAGAGGGAGAAGCAGGCTCCCCGCTGAGCAGGGGGCCCGATGCGGGGCTCGATCCCAGGACCCCGGGATCATGACCTGAGCCGAAGGCAGCTGCTTAACCAACTGAGCCACCCAGGCGTCCCCCACCTACACTAATTTAATAGAATTATTTTTAGTGACCTCCCATGTCTTTCCAAAGCATACATCACATTTTCCTAGGAGCAACCGTCTTTTAACCACTGTATTTTGAAGGTTTATTGCATAATTTTTTTCTCAAATTAGATAATCACATTAACCAATACCAGTGGCATGAACAGATTCCGGAGCAAACCCAGTGGTCCCGGTCCCCCTGCTGCTGGGGGGCGGGGGGGCGGCGTGTGTGTGTTGGGGGGGGTGCAGGGTGCTACAACATGAGTCTTCAAGCACTTTTCTTCACGTACCTCTTTTAAACTTGACATCTAAAATTTTGTATTAGGGGCGCCTGGGTGGCTCAGGCAGTTACGCGTCTGCCTTCGGCTCAGGTCATGATCCCAGGGTCCTGGGATCGAGTCCCGCATCGAGCTCCCTGTTTAGCGGGGAGCCTGCTTCTCCCTCCCCCTCTACCTGCTACTCAGTCCACTTGTGGTCTGTCAAAAAACAAAACAAAACAAAGCTTAAAGTAAAATTCTGTATCAAAATAGTTGAAAAAGATTTGATTCCAAGTGTATTGGAAATAAAATACTATCATTTTAGGATAAAACCGCCATTATCATGGTTTTAAATATATCCAGTGTGAATGTTGCCTCCACTCAACACCCACCATTATGTATTTACAAAGTAGATACACAAGTCCTTTTTAACAACCTTCACTGTTTTCCTCCTTGAACTCGTATTTCCATTCTACTTTCACCACAGAAATTTATATTCATGTAATATATTTTTATGCTTAAAAATCTTTTGTTGACTCCCTTATTATATTTCTGCAGCAAAATGTGGTATGAACCATTTGTTTTCAATTTCTTGAAAACTTAAAAAATGTTTTATTAAAAAATGCCTCCATATTGAACTATCACTAACAATAATTTGTGGTATTGCTGTTGAAAGCAACAAGTAAATGATACATTTTGGTTAATAATTCCATAAAAGTGAAATCTTACTGGAAATGCAGCCCTTCATAGATGCACAGGACATGAATTTTTCGGATTAGCTCCTGTGTCCCTGGCTGAGTGTTGGAAGGAAACCCGAGTTCACGCTGTGCTAGCCCAGTCCACCTGCAGTCACCAGAAACTAACCTGTAGTCAGATCAGCTTTACCGGCTCTCTGCAAATGTGGGAGGAACATGGCGCGTGTCCCCAAACAAAGGAAAAGGTACAGTTACTATAGGATTTGGAGGGAGGGTGGAGTTTAGGTGAAATTTAAGTGAAGCTGTTTTTGGTAGACTGAGCAGCAAGCAGGGCTGTGTGGGAGTCGAGTGCAGTCTGGCTGGAAATGTGGACGCAGGGTTCCGTTTCCCTGGAGACCGCAAACTGAAGGTAAAGAGGTAAAGCTGTTCAGACACCCCTGTGCGGAGCCCGGTCCCAGGGTTAGAAAGCAAGGTTGCTGCTCAGTGGCAAAGTGACTTGGGTCCCTCAAGCACATTTATCCTTTACCGCTGTAATTTCCAACAGCAGTTTCTGACAGCTTATGATTTTAGAGTACAGAATTCCTTGGTGAGTAAAAAAGCAGTCGTCAAAGAAGGGAGTTGTTCTGATAGTTTGTGCATCGTCCTGGGAAAGAAATATTGTTTCCTATTTGCAGTTGGCTTCATCAGCGTCTCTTATTCTACCTAATGTGAAGGGGGGCAGGCCAGATTGTTACTGCCAAGCTAAATTTCACCTTTCCAATGTCAATTGTAATTCTTAGCTTTTGCTTTTTATAGACGTAGGTCCTGAGAATGTGAGCCACATAATTCCCCAGGAATGAAAGGAATTTCATTATGTCATCGCCACTCAGATTTTGGACCTCTTTCCAAGTTATATGCTAAAATACACACTGTAATTCTGCATCGCATTTAGCGATGTGTTTGTTGACAGTCCTATCAGACCAGGCCCTCTTTTGGTTTTATGGAAAGCAGGAACGAAATGGCCCTTCATTGCCTAAGGATGCCTTGTCACCCAATCTCTAGAAACCATTTATTGGCTGAGATCTACACCAACATTTCAAATGTCCCTTTATCTGGCCCCTTGGACGTTTTCACACTCTGGGATAAGGCATCATGGTAAGATTTGGGTGGGGGAGGGCACCAGCTTGCTCTTGCAAAGTGGGAGAAGGATGGATGTAGAAAGGAATTCTCAAAAGTCACTTTTTTAGGAAGGAGAACATGTGCAAGTTGAGGCTATGGGAATTCCCGGAAGGTTCTCTGTGATGGGCTGTAATTTTTGAGAAGTCCGCAAGGGGCTGTAACTGTGCATGTGAGGAGCTTTCTGGTGGCAGGAGGAGTGGAGATGTCACCTGGTTGGGGATGTCCGTTAGCTGCACTCTATCCTGACAGAAGAGTATTTGAGGTCTCAGGCATTTATGATCTGTGTTGTGTCAAGAATAAGCAATATGGGGGCGCCTGGGTGGCTCAGTCGGTTAAGCATCTGCCTTCGGCTCAGGTCATGATCCCGGGGTCCTGAGATCGAGCCCTGCATTGGGCTCCCTGCTCAGCGGGGACCCTGCTTCTCCCTCTGCCTGCTGCTCCCCCAGTTTGGGCTCTCTCACTGTCTCTGTCAAATAAATAAATAAAATCTTTTAAAAAAAGGATGAACAGTATGAATATTGAATTACCTTGAGCATGTGCTTTTTCATTTTTAACTGTGCTCAATGGGCTTTCTTCTGAATACACTAGAAAATCCTGCTTTTCCAGGATCCTCTGAATCCTGCATTCAGAGATGGGCGTTTTTTTTTTCTTCCTGTTGTATTTTTCCTTGAAGGAAGCAGGAATGAATTTTTCTTCTTTCTCCCTCCTCTTTGCTCTTTTTGCTTGTTTCTACTTTCTGACTATACGTCAGAGTTAGTCATAAGGTCCAACAGCTGGCTTGAGAGTCCTGTTCACTCAGCTACAATGTTCATGGTCTGTGTGGTACATGAGGTTATTTTTCTCGTGTCCTTAGTGCATGAGAATGCTGGGGTTTTTTAAAAAATTATTTATTTACTTATTTGACAGAGACACAGCGAGAGAGGGAACACAAGCAGGGGGAGTGGGAGAGGGAGAAGCAAGCTTCCCGCCGAGCAGGGAGCCCGATGCAGGGCTCGATCCCAGGACCCTGGGACCATGACCTGAGCCGAAGGCAGATGCTTAACGACTGAGCCACCCAGGCGTGCCATGAGAATGGTGTTTTAATTAGTATACAGACTTCGTAAAACTCACACCTTCAGTTATGAGGTTGGCTATACAATCACAAAATGCACTTTGCAATTATGTCTCCCCTATCCCTTAAACAAAATTTAGCACCTAAATTCCAGGCAGTTGCTTTCCCAAAATTCCCTTGATCACCGGGATCAACCCATAATGAAATGTCTACATCTAGAGTTATCAGAAACTAGATGAAAAAAGGGAGAACAAAGCTCATAATGCCGTATTTGTGAGAATTGGGATTTTGCTTTGGATGTAACTAAGAAATGTGTGACTTGCTGAAGTAGCCCATTCGTGTTTCTGACTCTGCTTATTTGTCCTATTTCAGGTTTCATTTCCAGGGGCCATGTGGTACCACTCTTCCTGAAGCCCTTGCTCCTCATGAAACTGAAAATGTTTCTTAGTCGCCCTGGGGAAAGAAGAAATTGTAGTATGTCTAAGTACCAGGCCACAAACAGAGGAGAACCAGTCATGGGGACGGTGAGCTAAATACTGGAAAATCTAAAAATACCCTCCGATTCCCTGGCTGGAATCCCACCTGATAAATGATGGGGGCCTAGAAACAACAATATTCTTAGAAGAAGTCAGAGAACAGTTAAGTTAATGCATCTTATTTTGTGTGGACTTAAACATAAGATATCTTTTATGTATTTGGTTGGTTACTGGAAAGGGAAAATTTTATAATTAGATTATCTTTTAAAAAAGTAATTATCCTGATTGAATTGTTGCGATCTGGACACACAGAGAAGTAGAGGGGTAAAACCTTGGTATTTCTGATTTTTGCCAAGTTTTGATGGAAAACAAAATCACTCTCTACAGTAGGTCATTTATTGTATAAAGATCTTACCCCAAGAGATGTCTTTGTTGGGGGCTTTTCCTGTTCAGTGTTTACCGTGTTTGGCTGCCTTACCTCGCAGTGTGTGGGATAGCTTACGACAAGAACTCATGCAAGGAAGGAAGAGAAAAGTAGCATCAAGATAGAAAATCAGGATGAGTAAAATAAATGATGCAAATATATGGACTCCAAGGATAAACACAGCTGCCTAAAATTGAGCACTGGCCTCCTTAGCAGCCAAAGAGGACAGGGAGATGTGATGGCTGACTATTTATCGATATCACAAACACAGAAGCATTACGGTCCCTGCGGGGGCCCCACCAAGCTTTCCCAGACACTGAATTCTGAAGTCTGTGGTTTTTTTTTTTTTTCCCCACGAACTTTAAAAAATTACCCTCATATTACCTTGGAATCAAGTAGTAAGAATAGAGCTCTCTGCTCAAGCCTCACTACTGAATGCAGCCCCCAGGGCCCTAGGAATGGCTGCTGTGTGGTCTGACTGGGAGGAGTGGCCTTTAGTAAAGAGCGTAGGGAGGTCATATATGTGCAGGTCCCTTGGATCAGATCAGCTCCCTGGGTGATTACACCTCTGGGCCACATTACCTCAGCCCCTTACAAAATTACATTTAATGCTACACCCTGGGCTTTTGTAGAAGCAGGCAAGACGCAGTCACATAAAACTTGGTCATAACTTTTAATAAATCCCAAAGGTTCTTTGCAGGAGCAAGAGGGATGTTCATAACTTAAAAGGAGTAGGGCTCCTGAGGGCTCGATTCACACTTTGCGGGAGTGGGTCAAGGCATGTACACAGAGGGGGCCTCTTATAATGCAATTTTTCTACCTGAAATACCATCATTCACTGTTAATAGGTTTGTTGGGCTTCTCAAAGTTAAATCCATACATTTTCCTAGTGTTAGCAATGATGAAAGTCAGCACACTGAGCGAGTCTGATTGTATTTTTAATCTGTAATTTCCATCTGACCAAGGCCCCGATATTTCATAACTGTTCTTTGTAACTCCTCTCATCCTGGGCCTTTGGTACCAGCAGCTTTTTTTTTTGGTTGGTTTTCGTGTTTTGCCATTTTTGTTCGTGTTTTGGTTTCGTTAGAGAAGATGAAAAATTTGAAAATGCAAACTATATGTGATATTTAATTCAATTTAGTATTTACTGAATGTCTACCCTATGATAGACATTAGAAATAAAATGATCAGTAAGATATGGACCTTACCCTCAAGGAGGTCACGGAATGGTTGGGACAACTGTCATGTGAACTATTTTACAGATTGGAAACTACAGTAAAGAAATCTGTGCAAGATGCAGAGGAGGATGCAATTAGAGATGGGCGGAGTGGGGATGGGTTTAACGTTAAGGTGCTTGGAAGCCTTTAGGAGGAAGTAGGGGGCAGTTTTTGAAATATAAATAGTTCCACATGGAGGAGTATCAGCAGCGGAAACAGCATGTACAAATGCATAGCAAATGGGCAACAGCTTGGTTTGTTCAGAGAGTGATGAGTCATTTTGTGTTGTATAATGGATGGGAGAAGATAAACACAGAGATCAGGAAGGGCCGTGGATGCCAAGAAATGAAACCTACCTGGGGTTTGGAGGGATAGAAGCAGCGCTAGGGTTGCATTCACTAAGTAATGGTGAAGTCATTCTTTCACAGATTCAGGGTTTGCGCTGGACCAGCCACTGTTCAAGTTCCTGGGGTTAGAGCAGGGCACCAGGCCAACACCCTGTTCTCACAGAGCTTACATCCTAATGCAGTAGTCAGATGATAAGCTGTTAGGGAGTGGTGTCGGTGATGAACGGAGGCGTGGACAGTCCAGGAGCAGGTGGTGAGGGAACCTGGGAAATGGTGCCTGAGGTAGCCAAGCACACGTTTGGTGCTGAGCACTGATTTAAGCCTGCGTCTGTCAACTTGTTCCTGTCAGTGCCAGAAGGACTGAAAGGCATCACGTCCTGTTGCTATGGCACAGTTCTTCCCCTTCGAAGGAAATGCCACTTCTTTGGGGTGCGGGGAGTGAAGGGAGCCCAATCCGCAAATACTGATTAATTGGATCCAATGTGAAAATTAATAAAGGGAAATCTCACTAAAATGGAGTCGGGAGGTTCGGCAGGGGGAGGTCTCACGCTCTACCACTTGTCCTTACCTGCAAATCCAACAGGAAGAGACGGTGGACCTGGTAGGTGAATACCGCTTTATTACCAGACCTGGTAGGTGGATAGGGCTTTATTACCCCAGCGGGGGGAAGAAAGGCTTTCCTCCTCTCCCGCCCCCCGCAACAGCCCAGCCAATGAGAAGCCACCGTATTTCTAATCCCCAGTTTACTCCAATGGACTTTTATGACCGCCTCCCCCAGCTTCCCGGCTCCTCGATAAAAGAGAATCCACTCCTTAGTTTGGGGGACTTGCCTATGGTTTTGCCAACAGCTTGCTTACCCGGCAACTCTGCGATTCCTGAGTAAACCCATTTTTTTGCTGGTAAAATAACTGGCAGTTTTATTTTTTAAGGTTAACTGGACCAAGTGGATCGCGGTGCTAGGTAGGGCCACCGGGGCTTGTGGTCCCAGGTTTCTGGGCCCCTGGACGGCACAGCCCGTGACAGCGGGACTGGGGGGGGGGGACCCAGGCAACCCTGCTGTCAGCTTCCCAGCGGAGGAGCTCTTACGAGGCTCTCCCCTCCTAGAAGCAAGCCCCATCCCGATCTGCTCTCACTGCGGGAGCTCCGGTCGCTTATTCGGGACGGGGAGAAATGCACGTGGCGTCCCAGGCGGGGAAACCTCCCACAGGAGAAAAGGAACCACCCGCCATCCCACCCCAACGCTCGGCTCCCCTTAGGCCACGCCCTTCCCCCCGCTCTGCGCATGCGCATGCGCCTCCGCCGTCGCACCGCCGTCTCCGCATCTGCACCTGCAGGGGGCGACGCAAGTCGCGTCGCTTGCTCTTCACGTCACGCTGCGCTTGCGCGTTGTTTCGGGGTCAGAGGCCAGACGGTCGGGCGCTGCGCGGGTCATGGTGCAGCTTCGGCCGCGCGCGTCCCGCATCCCGGAGTCGGCGATGGTGGACGAGGGCCAGCCCGCCTCCGAGGAGGAGGAGGCGGCGGAGCACAGCCTGTTGCTCGGGCAGCCCAGCAGCGGCGCGGCCGCGGAGCCGCCGGAGGAAGAAGACGGGGAAGGGGACGACGAGTTTGACGACGAGGCCCCGGAGGAGCTGACTTTCGCCAGCGCCCAGGCGGAAGCACGAGAAGAGGAGCGGCGGGTTCGGGAGTCGGTGCGCAGGTTCGGAGCCCGCCGCCGGCCGGGAGAGCCGCCCCTTCCCGTCCCGCGCGTGTCGCCCCTTACTAACTTCTCCTCTTTCAGGGATAAAACGCTCCTGAAGGAGAAGAGGAAGCGACGGGAGGAGCTGTTCATCGAACAAAAGGTTAGAGGGTAGGGAGGCGTCTCCCCTTTAAAACACCGGGCCGGGGTAGAGTTCCCCTGTGTGGTGCCACAGCTGGGGAGCCTGGGGTGGGGGAAGGTCGCTAATACGCCTTCTGACAACAGCGAGAACAAAGGCGCTCGAGCTCTTTGCTGTGCAGCGATTGAAAACGGGAGTGGGAAGAGTCGTGAATTCGAGATTCGGAGGGTTCATCCCACTTGGGACAGCTCACCATGACAGCCTAGTCATTTAGTCTCGCGGAGGTAGTTTCTTTATCCGAAATTGGGTTGCTGTGAGAATTCCGAGAGGTACTTTGTAAACCGAGGGCTGTACTGCATAGAGTATGAGTGCTTTGCTGTCTAACGCTTGGCAGATGGGCCACAGAGAACGGACTCCGGGTGGACGGGACTTAATTGCGCTCAGCGTAGAACTGTGACTTTTGGGTTGGGATACAGTGGGCAGCCTTCCCAGTCTTCACCAAGTGCTTCCAGAGAATGTGGAATAGTTTCTGAGTTTCGTGGGCCCAGTCTTCCCACAGCTTAGAGGTCGTGGGGGCAGGGCTCAGCCTAATTCATTCGTCTAGATTTTAGTAAAGCTGTCCTTAAAATCAGAAACTTCAGAAGCAAGTCGGGGCATACTGTCATGCACCTCACTGCTGATTAATTCTTAAATGTCTTTAAGAAAAGAAAACTCCTTCCAGATAACATTCTAGAGAAGTTAACTACAGCTGGACAGACTAAGTAAGTAGTGGATCTTTGTTACATACACCTGTCTATGAATTACGTACCGGTCCACACATTTATTTGAGTCCACATAATAGAAGTAATAAATTAAAAAGCTACGCAGTAGGTATCTGAATTTGGTGGGAAAGGTGGAGGGAATTAACTCCACTTTTCAGTCTTTTACCACTTTTTGTTCATTCCTGTAGCTAACTTTAGCTTCTGGGCTGATTCCAGGGTATCAGTCAATAGGTGCTTGTGCTCCTGTCCTTATACTAAGGGAGGGTAGATGGTGGTGAGTAAAAGGGAGTCTTGAAACTTAGCATTTAGTGGAGTAGCAGACAGTGTCCACAGGCTCCTGAAGCTCCTCTTGTCCCATACTTGCCTTGGCTGCTCCCGCTTCATTCATTTAGCAGCTTTGCCCTCTGTTGATGGTTAAAGGCAAATGTTGTCCTCTTCCCCATCTATCCCGTGAAATCAAACTGTAATAAATTTAGACTTCTAAATATTGGGTAATTTCTTTATGCCCCCCTTGCTTCTCCTAAATGCTTTATTTTTTTTAAATAAAGATTTTTATTTATTTGTCAGAGAAGGAGCACAAGCAGGGGGAGCAGCAGGCAGAGGGAGAAGCAGGCTCCCCGCTGAGCAGGGAGGCAGACGCGGGGCTCTATCCCAGGACCCTGGGATCATGACCTGAGCTGAAGGCAGACGCTTAACCGACTGAGCCACCGAGGCGTCTCTCCTAAATGCTTTAAGTTCAGAAGTTTAGTCTCGTATTTTTTACCTAGGCCGCTGATTCTTAAATTTTCAGTAAAAGAACTTTTCCAAAGTTAAAATCCTGAATATATTATACATTCAGATGCATTTGGTGGCATATTCCCCCTTCCCTCTTTAGAAACCAAGCTCAAATGTCACCTCTTCCTTCTCTTACTCCCCCCCCATCCCATCATCACTTTCTCCTTTGTATAGCTTTTCTGTCAAGTGCTTCTGTATGGGAATCTTGTTGTATTTTATCAGATTACATTTGTCTCTCCATCCTTTTTGTGCCTGAACTGCTGAGTTGATCCCTTATGATTTCTCTAAATAAAAGGATGCCGTCCTACCACCTTTCACTTCGTATTTCGAATACTGTTATGTAATTCACTTTTTTCTTAAGTCTTTCACTTCAGCTCTTAACTACAGCAATCTGTTATTGAAGTTTGCTAATACGCTTTCACAACTTTCTGAGAAGATACTCCATCCTAGTTATATACTAGTTTGGGAACTGGTAGCAATTCCCAACTTTTGCTTTCCAAAGTTGGGACTTTTGCTTTCCAAAACTGATCCTGAGTAAAAACTGAGGTTGGTGGTAATGAAAGGGGGTATCTTATTTATAAAGCCCGATGAAATTGTGTAGTAAGTGGAGTAATCTTTGCTATCTGCCATACTAATCAGTATTTTTATTGTTCTTCCTTAGCATAAAGAAATCATCAGGAAAGCTGAAAGAAGGTATGATCTATTCTGATTTAAATAACTTCTCGTGTTAAGTGTCAAGTGCATTTGCAGATATTTGCAGCCAAATGTTACCGGCCCTGAGAGAGTGTAGCTTGGACCTGTTCTCTATTTCTTACAAATAAAAATTGCATCGAAATTGGTATGAGTGCATGTTTAAAGTGAACTCCAGTAAATGTTTCTGCTTTATTTCTACATAATTACTAAATTGAAATAAAATTTTTTTAGCTACTTTGCAGAAGAAAAAGGAAGAATATGAAAAAGGAAGTGTTTCTAAGAATGCTAAAGAAAAGGTACAAAAAGTACAGTCTGTCGGGTAAGGGTCTTCTTTTTTTTCCACGTAGAATGTAAAGGTGACCGGAGGGAGTTAAAGTATTGGCTTATGTGGAGAAAGATGTTAATTAGTAGTGGTTTCAGATTAGATCCTCTGTGGGAAAACCAATTCTGATATTTACATAAGAACATTTGCATACTTAAAACATAAATGTTAATCGATTTCTAGTAAAATAGCCCTGTGGTTTAGTTTTATTCATCATCTGTGCATATACAAATTTAGGATTTTGGTTTTTTCACTTTTTGAAGTAAGAAAAATGCTTTTTATTTTCAAAGTAAACACGT